CAAGAGCCCACCTCTAGAGCAGGTGTTGAAACAAACCTCTTGAGCCTTCTCCAGATTTGCTCTTGAAAATACCAAGGAAATATTTTCTGCAAAGTCATATCTAGAGGTCACCCCACGGACAGTCTTGTAGTTTAAAGACTTGCTCACATTAGTAGGGATGTAGATTAGTTCTATGGAAATTAATGGATCGAACACCCCTCTTGTTTCCATTAACACTAATGGAGTTGCATCAGTGGGAAATATTTGTCAAAGGAAACCATAGCCATCAGCCTGATTGGCCTTATCTGCGGGAAGGAAGAATGCAATAGTTCATGACAATAGTGATTCCAACTACAAGGAGCAGATGGTCACAGTAAATTGCCACCCTGCTACAAGAGATTCCTATCGGTCCAGAGGAGGGCAGTAAAGCAGCCAAAGCATAATGAAGAAACAGTGTTTCAGATGTTAAAAAAAAAAAAAAGTGCAATATGGCTGGAGGACAATATAAGTGAGCTCACGATGACTTCACAGTTCCTGTCTCTTCATCTGCTCTTAATGCCCCCTTTATATCCTCTCTCTTCCCTCCTTCCACAGGCCATATATCATCTTCACTGATAAATCCACCAAGTTCAAGACTGTGACTCAGCAAAGGTAAATAAGCTTCAGCTGGGCAGTTCAAACAGCAGGGTGAATGAATGACACACCGAGCAAGGGCTTCATTTGTGCTCTGGTGTTTTGGGAGAGGGGAAAGATGGACTCGGTGTACCTCCAGATGAAGAATATCTCATCTCTCCAATAATCAGGAGACAAGGCAAAGCCACTAGAGTGCTAGAGCTAGCTAGAGGTTTTTCAGGTTATAATGTTGAACTTAAAACCTTTTCAAGCTTCCTTTTTGCTTTAAGGGACGTTAAACAGCCACAAACGAGAGGTCTGCTTCTGGCTGTGCAGTCTGGGACCTGCACTCACAGCATGTGTTTGGGGGGGGGGGGCCATACGTGCCTCAGTGACAGTCTGGCACAGTCCCCCACAGTATATTCACCAAAACTGTTGGAAGCAGAATTGAGACTGGGAGGGGAAATTATGGGTTTAGGATTCATATGCCTCAGCCAGTTTAAAACCTCCAGTGCAAGCACAGAGAAAGTAAGTGCGCCCACTAACACTCCACCTGGGGAGGAGACCCTCGCCAGGACAAGCTGGAGATCCTGCTGATCTCTTCCTGAACCTCTGCACCCTCTCAGCCAGGAAGGAAAATAATAAACTGAGAGGTGCAGTTTATTTGGAAATACTAAATACAACCACTGCATTACCTAATTTCTCCAACTGGTTTGGGCATCTGATCCTTTCTTCAGCACTGTCCCATTTTCTCAGAGCTTTGCAGCTGCCAGGGCAGCTGCCGGGACAGGGACTGGCTGCCCGTGCCCAGCCCTACGTAGAGGCAGCGGGTGCCCTGGTCTGCCCTCTGGGCCTCCTCTCTTCAGAGGTCTGCTCTCCCAAAAGGAAGGCATGATATTGGACAGCCCTGTCTTCACTCCAGCCATCTTCTCTAGACCATTTTGGTTTCTGCAGCTGTTCAGAGCTGATGCTACCCATCAGCCCGAGTTGGTTGGCACTCGCCAGTTTGGCAACTCATAGGCAAACCAAGACAGGCGCAATCTGCAATAGCTGTGCTCAGCTCTGTTTCAAGGAGAGAGAAGTATGCAGTGGCGAATTTGCCTACACCTATCCTTGGACCCAACGCCAGGTGACTAGGCAGTGGTCTGTGACTGTTGACTCAGCCCCCAACAACAATATTGTTGGGGCTACAATGAACTATAAATAACAGCCTAGGGAGTGGCACGTAAGACACAGTGGCAGAACTTGGTTCAGTTCTAGCCGCTGCTTTTTGCTTTGCTGATCCTTTTGTAATGGTGTCCCTTTTGCTCTGTGCTGTTTCATAATTTCAGACGTCATGGGAAAACGATCAATTCCCACTCCCCACACTGCAAAAACTGAGGCTGAACCCACAGTCCTCCTGTGGTCACTGTGTTTCAAGCACAGAAAAGAGAATAAAACTTTTTCTCCTTGCAGTGAGGCAGAATGGGAAAATGTTCCCTAGAAACAATTAATAAAAAAGAAGAGCTAAACAGCTTTCCTTTGAAACTGGGCAGCCTCAAACTTTGCTTTGCTTCTAGTTGGCAGAACCAAATGGTCACATTAGCTGAAGCACAATGTGAGCATAAGTGCAGCGCAAGCAACTGACGTGGCCAGCTTCTTGCACAGGCTCCCCACTTACTCAGTTCCTGTCCTGGCACTAGTCCTCTTCTATATAACCTGATGATTTATCTTTCCATGTGACAGGAAGGAAGAACTGGGTCTTCACCCTCAGTCCCTACTAAACACAACACAGCACTTTTCTGGTCTCCGTGTCATTATACTGCTATTTACATTTATGTGCACTAAAGCTGGAAGTCTTGGCTCCTACAGTAGCTCTCCTGGGATCAGCTTTGACCTTTTAATTGCTGTCTTGGACCCCACCATCACCTGAACAGTTCTCCTTCAAACAATTTCATCACTCAGTAACTAAGTTACAGCACAGAGATGCTTAACGTTTAATTACCTGAGTTAATTCTCTCCTTATATAACCCTCCCTCCCTAACCTGTGAATTTGGAGGCCGATTCCTACAGAGACTTCCCTACATGGAGCTCACACGCACCTGCAAAGATCAAGACCCCTCTAAGCAGGAGAAGGGACAGAATACACTGTAATTTTTTGGGACACAGGCAATTACAATTCCAGCTCTGATATTGCCAGCTCCCTTCACCCAAGCTGCTACTCAGTCAACCAATTTATCTCCATCTCCCCAGATCTGCTGCCATTTAAACTGGAGAGATCAGAATAAAAGACATAAATACATCTCCAACATGCAACACAGCAATAAATATAAATGTCCAAGCTATTGTGGGACTTTGTCAGGGCTATGTTGCACTGCAGGATCAGGAATTTGGGCTATTTTTTTCTGGCCTAGTACCTGACCTCATGCTAATAATAGCAATGGGCTGTGCTATATAGATGTAACCACTTGTTTGCTTGCTTTTTGTCAACAATGTCAACAGCTAAATTATTCTTCTGATAAAGACACCACATGATATGTTTTAAGTCTCCATGACTCACTGAAGACATCAAATCCTTTGTGAATCATCAGCAGCAGCTATCATCCAGTGTGATTTACATCATTTTAGCAAACCGGAATGACTTATCACACTAGTGAACTACAGACCAGCAGGAGCATTCAGATAAGCTGCAAAACCTCCTTGGCCAGAGCCCACACTGAAAAAAGCTGACTGCTTCCACATCTGGGGGAAAAAAAGGGGGGAGAAGGGGCAACAGTGTGTCAACAGCATGCTCCCTTCATCTGATGCACTGAGCACTCTCTACTTGTGTGACACTGGAATGAACCTTCAGCCAATTATTCACCAAAACACTATCTTTAAGAGGGGAAAAAAAAACCAAACCAAATGTTGGAGCTTCCATGGCAAAGGTTTTGCTCCACCAAAGAGGGAAGGTTGGAATATCCCTCATCTCCAGCCTTTTCTTACTATTGCCTTTTAGAAATTCATCCAGAAAGTTTGAGCAAAGGTGGATCAAGGCAGGAGACAGCACAGAATTGTCCTCATATAAAGCAGTCACAGTTTAAAAGAAAGCAGCCAAAGCATTTTTTGGAACTGTAAAAACTACTTTTTAGCAGAACTGGTAGCTACAGAAGGATGCTTCACCCTCAGCCTGTAGTAGAGTGCGGCCAAGGTTAACTATTAGGCAAGCTTCATTAAAACTTTCTAAATGGTGCTGTTTGCTACCATTATTCAGATGCATAATTTCCTTGTAAAGCAAGGGAATTATTACCCTCGATATCACTTTTTAAGTTATATGCATTAAGTTATTCTTCATGGCCATACCTAATTACTCTTCAGGACGTTGATCATGCGATAAAGAGAATCACGCACAGTACTATCACTTTTCCCTCTGGACAGACAGGTTGATCTTATGGCTCTTAACCACAGGAATTATACAATAACTGTTCCCTAACTGGTTTTACATGCATTCGTCTTCCAGCACTTAGCTTTCACAGTATGCCTACAATTTCAGGAATTTTCAGAATAATTTGGTTAGTGTTCATTTAAACTCATCTCACAGCCTCATCCTTTTGTAACAACCTATGCTGAACAGTGTTGCATCTCCTAATCTGCAAGTGACAGCAGGAACCTGCAGCCCTGACGACTGATGCATACCAAGTGCTTCTTTTGTCTACAAGGCCTTCGCAACATGAGATTCTGATGATGAAAATACCAAGTAACTGTTGATCATCGCAGCAGGAACACAAGCTGCTTTCTCCATAAATACGAAAGAGAGTTTGATCCTGTTCCTACAGAACTCATAAAAACATGCTTGATCTGGCTGCTTGTGCCAACAAGCTTTCAGGGGGCTTCAGTGGATATGGACTCAAGGTATCATGGGTCCTCCCCTACTATTTCAGCTGTCCATGATCAGATGCAGAATGGAAAGTCTCCTGTAGCAGGAATGACTCCTCAGCAAGGTGAGGATTATGTCTACTTGCCCTGAGCTGACATAGCACCACAGGGTATCTACAAAGTGAGTACTTGCACTGCAACGAGACAAAATCAGCCAGAATTTTCAAAGATGAAAAGCATTTTCTCAGCTTCAAAACTTTGCAAGACTGGCAACTCTGGGACACCAGCTGCATAACCAGTATTTAAGGGTTTATTCTCGCCTACTTCCACTTTCACCCATGCATCAGGGCACTCTGACACCACTGGGGCTGTGATGTTCCAACTTTGCAGTTTCCTCAGCTTCTCATGCTGATTCTCAACAACATACTGTTCTCTTTAGCTCTGCAGTTTGAATTGCTTTGTAAACAACTATATTGCTCACTGTACCAGTTCCTTATACAGAGAAAGACCTGCTAGCCACAAGAAGAAATGAGCCCGTAGCGCAGGAAAAAAAACAGAAAAGAGAGAATCATGTAGTTCTCATTCTCAAGAATGTTTCTCTATTTGATCAAGAACCAAAACAACACCAAAGCCCAGGTTATTAAAAATCATAAATGAATCCAATGTTTAATCAGAGAAAAATCAAAGCCTTTTGTGACTGGACAGGACATACATTTTGCCAGGCTGCCTCCTCTCTAGAAAGCTGCTTTATTTAACATGGCACAACTGTAAATTTCACATCAGCTTGGTGGTTTGGGTTTGCAAAGCAGGAATGTCTTGAGAAAAAGCAGACAAATCAACAAATTCCGAGAATCCGAATTACTAGATCGCTGCAAGAATTCTTGTGAAACATCTGTATTTGTCCTTATGTAATACATAACCAATGTCTAGGTGTAGGAAATACAGTCAGCAGGGTTGAAGTAATCCACCAATCTCATTATGCAGCAGAGTTTCGGACCAATTGAGCTTAAGCTCATTTCACTTCTCAGAGATTGTTTCTTCTCCTTTATAAACGACAATGTTCTGGTCTGTTTCGTACACTTTGACTTTATAAAGAGTTCCCATGGGCAGGAGCTTCTTGAGGTTTTCCCAGATGAATACTGCAACGTTCTCTGTGGTGCTAAGAGCGAAACACGAGCAGATTCAGAACTGACAGCAATGATATTTGAGGCTGTACCCAGAATGGGCCGGGGGGATGCTAAAGCCCACAGGGAACCACGCGGGCAGCTTTCACATGATGACACCCTGAATGTAAGTGGGGCTTGAACCATTGCCAGCAAACATGGATGAAACGAGGTCTAATTAACAGGTCGTATCTGTCTCCCCAAGCTGTCCAAAGAGCAGGCTCATGTGACAAGTGCCAGTCTGCAAAGGGCTCCTCAGGTGCGAGCAAGTGGTGCCTTCCTGGGTATGTGGGACGGCAGCTGCCCCAGCAGGCCTGCACCCGGCCCGGCACAGTGAGGTAGGCTGCATGGCAGCAGGGCTGAAAGGCAGGCAGGGCACCCAGCACCTGACATGCACAAGTGTGTGTGTCACAGGTGTGTTACACAGGTACCAAGGCTGCTCTTTCAGATGTAGGACTAAGCCTTGAAGACTGTTTCTTGACCCTGCAACCAATGCCCATCACCCACCTCACAACCTCAGCAAAGTATGGCACATCCTTATCAAGGTTTTTGTGGTCAAGCGGTTCCATGATTGCCTCCTGCAGAAAGAGAACAGTGACAATCTTGTTCCAGTTGGTCAGTGGAGTTGGGTTCAAATTACCATGCATACTGAGCAAGGCAACAGTATGTAAAAAAAGGAGACCCCTACATCCACCTGTTAACTTCCTAGTTGGAGACACAGTACTACCTCACATCACAGTGCTAAAGCATTTTAGTCTTAAATCATTCCTTAATTTCTTCTTTATTTCCTACCATCATCAACTCACCACGTCTCCACCCTGGTACTAGACAAATTGCTAAGCTCTAACCAGTTCTCCCAGGGGACGTGTAGGAAAATAGTGCTATTACCTGCATATATTCTTTCAGGTCTGTCAGGTTTATAACCATTCCTGAGACTGGGTCAATCTGCAGGGAAAACAAAAGGGAGATTAGTAGCCTAGCTACACATCCTTATTACTAAGGCTGCCGTGAGCCTGTACAAATCAGACTGTGAATATCTGTGCACTCAGGACATCTGAGCCACAAGAAAAATATCTTTCCACCTTCACACACTTGAGTTCCAACTCTACTCCTGTGATGTTCCCAAAGGCTAGAGATACAGCATACAAACAACTCTAGTAATTCCACTCATAAAAGCTGACACCGGGGAGGAAAATGTCACTGAAACACTCGGTCTTCAAGCAACCATCTAGCATGACCAGAAGCAGGAAAACAGGCATTAAACTGCTGGGTTGAACAACCAGGGACAAAACAGAGACCAGCCTGAGCTCAGGGCGTCCTCCCATCCAGAGAAGGCACAGCTCCAGGAACAAAATCAGATTGTGTAGTTCACGGCATATTTGGGGAATGTAGAAGGAAGAGGCTTTAAAATTTTAGTTTCAGATCTGAATAGAAACCTCCTTTCCTATGAACTGGAAATCTTCAAAAAGTTGTTTGAAAAACATCAAAACCAAAGTGCTATCTAAACAACTCACTTTGCAGAATACACAGAACAATGACAGAATGAAGGGAGAAAAACAACTGCAAAAGCAGAATTTCCTTTTATATTTGCAGCAAAATACCTTGATAAAACAGCTGAGAGAATCAGTTACTGGAAGTGCTAAGCCTCCCTGGGGCTCAGTATTCATCCAAAGGTGCCCCACAGATCTGACCAGAGCCTACACATTCTGCAGGGAAGCTCTGGCAGACTAAGTTATGTGCCCAGAGGATGACTACAAACCTTGGATTAAATACAGTCACCTGCAAATCCTTGTTAGAGGCAAGGTGAATAGGACAGTGATTACGAAAAACCTTCTTCTATAGTGATGTGTACAGTTTCCATAAACACCCTGGGAAACCTAGCAATTGAGCTAGAACTTCAGTACTGTGGAAGACGGGGACCCGTCTATCCTGCCACCCTAAGGAATGGAAAAAAAATGTTGATCACACTTACCTCTCCACGCACAGTGACTATAACTGAAAAAAAGAAAATACCAGGTCACGATGACACCATGAACCTAACAACAAAGTACACTACTGATTGGGGCAGACAACCCATTCATCGCTAATCCACAAGGACTGGTGCAGGCTTCCCAGCACTTAAAAGTGGGACTGTTTTCATAAAATGAGTATCCACTCCATAAAGAATAATGACTCAGAGTCACCCAGCTCATTGAAGAAGTCATTCTCCAAGGTCTGATGCCCAAAGACACACCACTATCCCTGAAGTGCCCCTTGCAGGCAGAGATAAGACTAGATGACTTCTCAAGTACCTACTCCCTATGACAGCCTGTGCCCTGCACACTCAAGATCAGAGTCTCTTGATCAGCAAAGTCTTCTGGACAATGCAGACACCCTAGGTGCCCATACAATCACCAGACCCCTGAGATCGTAAGATGTGGGCTCGGCTTATAAGTCTTCTGACATCAGGGAATACCAGAGAAGGAAAGTAAGGGATGAAGTGGCTGCCAACTCTCTAAGAACTAGAATTACTGCAAAGTGTCATTTCAACCCAGAAGTCCTTTCAACAAAAGAGACAAACACTTGGAAACATCAACCTTATAAGCTCAGCATTCCTTCCCACTAACCCCAGGAGCTGAGAACAGAACCACAGCTCACTGGGGATCTCACAAAAATAGACAGACAGTGATTTGAGCCTGGTTGTGATTCTCCTCTGGGGTGGAAAAGCCCCTTCATGCTCTTTTTCTCACTCTCTCTAGTCCTCCCCCCCCAGCAAGGAACAGTTTTAGAGGCATCTCCCTAGCTTTCCAGCCATTTTTTTTACAGTGCAAACACCTTTAGACAGTGATTGAGCCTGGTTGTGATTCTCCTCTGGGGTGGAAAAGCCCCTTCATGCTCTTTTTCTCACTCTCTCTAGTCCTCCCCCCCCCAGCAAGGAACAGTTTTAGAGGCATCTCCCTAGCTTTCCAGCCATTTTTTTTACAGTGCAAACACCTTTCTTACATGAGAAAGCAAGAACCGTTGTGCCTGTAAATCAGCTTTAAAATGAGGGACAGATCTTCAGTCCAACAATCTGTCAATCTGTCTTCCCTGATAAAGCTAGTAGCTCTGTAGCAGAGGTTTCAGGGTACCTACAATACACAGTGCTAAACAGGTAGCCAGCCTAATAACTGCAGAGATCTGATTCTACGTGCATAGAGTATAGATGATAGGAGAAGAACTTGTGAAAACAACATTCAAATAAAGTTTACGGGCTGTTTAAGCTGCATGTCTTTTGCTTAGAAAAATCTTCATTCAAAACACAATGATTTTGCAGATTATAAACAATTAGATTTGATTCATGAAGTGACATTTTGAGATAAATATTTATAATCTATTTAAGTTAATAGCTTGCAAATCTATGCCATGGTTCAACCCCCCCGCTGCTGAGGATTCCTTCCAATTCTAAAAAACCCCAAAACCAGCCACTAAAAGCCATACCAGACTGCTGAGACACATGACTGGCCCAGCTCTCCCATGAGTTATTCTGCATTCAAACCAGCCTGCCCGAGAGCAGCCTCTGTCCAGGACTACATGTGTAAGCATGGAAGTCAACGCCTTACCTTTATAGTTGTGCCCATGGCCATTTGGATTGTTGCATTTCCCAAACAGCTTCAGGTTTTCTTCATCACTCAGTGATTTACTGTGAGAAATACAGACATGGCATTTCAGGATCCACTACAGATGTTCATGGCTTCACTTCCACTGTGATTGCTTTCTAGCTCTTCCATCTATTCACGGTCCCAAATTTAACCCACTAGCTTTTCCTACTCAGGAGGCACAAACAGAACCGGAGGAGTATTTGGCCCATAAAAAGACGTTGTTGACAACGGGGGTTTTTTGCTGTGGTTTTGTATTTATATATGCAGGTTTTATAACAACTGCCTAATACCACTGCTGTATAAATACTAACAGCTCTTCACATATGAATATGGCAAAATCACTTGGGCTCCTAGGAGGAAGCGCTTGGAGCAAACTATGCATATTATTATTCATTAACTAACAAAGCTTAAGGAGTTTCTCCAAGAAGTATAAAGGACTACTTCCCTCTCTGAAGGTTTCTTTTGAAGAAATTCAAGTGCCTATTCCGAGGAATATTTCAGGTCAAGGCACTCTTTAGGAATATGTAAGTTTCGAGAAAAAGGCGACAGATTAGGTGCACGGTGAGTTGCTTACAAACTGCAAGCATAATTCGTCCCATTTAAAAACAAAACTTCAGTTCTCATTCAACTCAGTTAGGCGGTGACGTCCCGAATCAGGATTGGCTACTACAGGCTGCAGAAAATGGACTGAAACAAAGAGAACCGGGGAGCGCTCGACAGCAGGCACGCAGGCCCGGCCGAGCCGGGCCCCCTCCTCCGTGCGCCCGGCTCTCCCGCGGGCCCCCC